GTGAGCCACCGGCGCCCAGCAAGGATTTTTTTTTTTAAACAAAATAAAGCACATTTTATACAGCAGAAAAAGGTGAATCACGTGGTCCCTACTAACACGTGTCTCCTGAATCTTTGCAAAATGACATACAAACTAGGTGAGCTTTATCTTGTAACAGAACATCCTCTCACATAGAAAATTCTACGGACACAAAAGCTTTACCAGCTAAAGACTGATTTTTAACATTGTTCTCAAAGTTGTGTTTTGGTATGTCAAGCTCTTGCAGGTGAGTACGTATGCCAGTATCAAACACTGAAATCAACAGGAAATCAGTTAGACCCGCTGATTTCCGGGTGCTGGACAGTTGGACTTGTGAGTTTGGGGAGCGAGGGTCACAGTGGATCTCCAAAACTGCTGGAGATTAATTACCCTTGGTCCATTAGTACTATGGGCCTCGGTCAGTGCCTTCAACAGCCAGAATCACCTGACAAAAGCTGAGATCTGCTACCAAGGAAAAAAAGCAGATACATACCTGTCCGACTCAGGGCTGAAGCTAAGAAAGGACTTTGGGACGCATTCAAAAAGAGAGAAAAGTTAGAGATTATTATAGCAGACAGAACAACGCAGGGCTGGACCCCCTTGATACTTAACAGACACAACCGAGTCACTTCGAAAAGGCCACCAGGGGTCCCAGCACGGGGAAAGGCTGAGAAGCAAGAATTGGAGGTCGCCCCGAGCCACGTGAATGAGTTTATCCAGCGTTAGCTACTCAGGGAGGGCCTGTCTCAAAGAAACCAACACTTGACACTGAGAACTGGGCACGTGAATGTTCTGAATAGATACCCACGAACGCAAGCAGGAAGATGGCTCGCTGGCAGGATTACAGAACTCAAACAGGCTCTCACAGACAGGACCACGTGAGTTCGCTGTGTGTTGATACAGTCACCCATCATAAAAGAAAACCGCAAATGTTGGCCGTGCCCAGTGACTGCCGCCTGCAGTCCTTGTTATTGGCAAGGGAGAGAAATGTGGGAATTTTGATCCTAAGCCAGCCTGGCCCCTCCCCGGAATAAAAGTTGGTGAGATTCCCCATGGAGTGATGGCTGGGCCCAGGAGCATGCACCTGACATCCAACGCCACGTACAAATGGAGGACGGGAATCCGGAACAGTGCACGTGTCACGTGAGACCCTGTCCTGAAAGTAACCAACGCAAAGAGGAGCCGGGGAAGTGGCTCAGGTGGTAGGGCGCCCTACCAAGTGTGGAGGTCCCGAATTCGAATCCTGGTACCCCTCTTACACCAGAATGGGAAACCTTCAATGCAGAGAGGAGAGTGTAAATGGTTCCCTTTACACTTTTCCAGTGTCTGGTTCAGGGACATGTGGGTGCTCAGTGAATGCTTCCGGACGGACATTACTGTCTTGCTCTATAAGAGAACTATATATGTATATATATTAATCATTAATCATATATCATATATATATTAATCATATATAATATATCATACGCATTATATATATGATTAATATTCTAAGTATGCTTTCTGTTCCCAAAGGAATACAGAACTTTCCATGTGTGAGGCAGGATCTCGCTATGTAGTCCAGGCTGGCCTAGAACTCGCAATCTTCCTGCCCAGTGCTGCACTACAGGGCTGTGTCTCCAGGCCTGGCTCAGAGGAAGAAACTAATTTATCAAAAGTTCCTGCTAACTTTTCAGGTGTTTGGTCTTTCAGGACAGATGACTGTGTATCTAGGACTATGAGCACTTGTCGGAGATATTAATTACGGGCTGCTAAGGATGTATGGTTGTGGGCTGGGAAGGTGGCTCAGTAGTAGAGCGCTTGCCTTGCATGCTTGAGGCCCTGGGTTCAATTCCTCAGCACCACATAAGCAAAAAAAAGCCAGAAGTGGCGCTGTGGCTCAAGTAGTAGAGCGCTAGCCTTGAGCTGAAGAGCTGAGGGACAGCGCCCAGGCCCAGAGTTCAGGCCCCACGACTGGACTCAAAAAAAAAAAAAAAGAATGTATGGTTGTCATATTCTAGAAAGATCATCTATTAAGACCATATCTGATCTATACATACTAATGTATATTGCTATGCATGTTAATACATCATTGAAAGTGGATGGTAATACAATGATGTCTAGCAGATATCACTTTTTAACGATAAGAATATTCGTGTGTGTGTGTGTGTGTGTGTGTGTGTGTGTGTGTGTGTGTGTATGTGCCAGTCCAGACTCGAACTCAGGGCCTCAGCACTGTTCCTGAGCATTTTGTTCAAGGCAAGCGCTCTACCACTTGAGCCACAGCACCAATTCCAGCTTTGCGGTGGTTCACGGGAGAGAAAAGTCTCACAGACTTTCCTGCCCAGGCTGGATTTGAACCCCGATCCTCAGATCTCAGCCTCCTGAGGAGCTAGGGTGTCAGGCGTGAGCCACCGGCGCTCGACAAGGTAAGAAATTTTACAAAGTCAAAACCGCAGAATCCAGATACATAAGGGAAACCTGACAAAAATCAGAGACATTAGCAACTTGCGGACCAGGGTCGTAATGAACTCTTTGGTTTTCTTTTCCCCCGAATGATACGATTATTTGCTCTGTGAAATGAATGAACAGATGCTATTGACAAACAAGCAAGCAGGGCTCTGACTTTAAGGCAAAGCGGGGCTGAGGGAGGAGGTGGTCAGGGTGATCTCCTATCAGACCTTCACGCTGAAAGCTTAAACCAAGAGGCCAGAACCCCTCCCAGCGCGTAGGGGAGAAGATGCCTGAGGGGAAGAGGGGGTCTCCGCGCCCCGCTTACCTCTCAACCACGGCTTGTCGGTGACTGAGGAGGAAGTCTTTTGCGACGTACAGGCCGACCTCCGAGCCCGCTACGATTTCTAGGATGTTTGTGTCCGTGGCCGTGAAGTCTGTGTCGTTGGTCTGGGCGGGGGATCCGGTGATGGCGTGCTCCATGAATCTGCGGGCGTACAGGAAGCAAACGCGCCCGCGCGCGGCTCAGGCAGGCACCCTGAGCTCTGTCTGTCTCCTGCTGAGGAGGCTGTGGCCGCACTCCGGGGCGAGGCTGGGCCTTCACCTGTTCAGCGTCCAGGGGTCCCTGCTGCAGCTCAGGGCGTAGGCCAGAGGAAGCCTGTCGTCCTCGCTCGTGGTGTTCTCGTAGACTCGGAACAGGAAGTCCCACTCTTTGTCGCCTCCCCGGGCAACGCCGTAGCACAGCACCGCATCCCTGATCAGACGCGGGATCCTGAAAGGCACCGTGCCCCGCGTGAGCGCGCGCTTCCACGCATGAGTCTAGCCAGAGCACGCGAGTCCTCAGGCGTGAGATGACATGCAGACAGCCCGAGACGGAGCCGCGGGGACTGCGGTCAGCGTCGGTACTGAGAGGAGGGACAGTCAGCTCAACACGGAAACTCGGAGAAGAGACAGACAGACGGACAGACACAGAGACAGAGACAGACAGACACAGAGAGACAGGGAGACACGGAGACAGAGACAGGCAGAGAGACCCAGACAGACAGGGACAGAGATAGACAGACAGAGGGGAGGGAAGAGGAGTAGAAAAGGAGCGGAGGAGGGGGGAGGGGAGGCGCTAGGCCCTGATACATGTTCACAGATATAACATTAATTAAATAATGAAAAAGAACCACCTGTGAAGACACAAACCAACCCTAGCGACTACACTGATTATTTACTGAGAGGATGTAGCAGCCAGCAATGGCCAATCGTGGGTGAATGCTCTGTGTGAATCCAATCTTCTGTGACTGCGCAGAGACCTGACTTCGACAATCAGTGCTTTTTTTTTTTTTTTTGTCGGTCATGGGTCTTGAACTCTGGGCCTGGGCACTGTACCTCAGCTCTTCAGCTCAAGGCGAGCGCTCTACCACTTGAGCTACAGCACCACTTCTGGTTTTCTAGTGGTTTATTGGAGATAGGAGTCTCACGGTCTTTCCTGCCCAGGCTGGCTTTGAACCGCGATCCTCAGATCTCAGCCTCCTGAGTAGCTAGGATGACAGGCGTGAGCCACCGCGCCTGGCAATCAGTGCTTTTTTAGAAAGGTTATTTGCAAAGTAATTAGAGCGAGAGGAGGAGGAGGCAGGGGGGGAAGAAGGGGGAAGAAGGGAAGGGAGAAGGAAAGAGAGGGAGAGGAGGTGGGAGATAAAAGAAGGCGGGAAGAAACAGCAGTCATGGGAATAAAACAGAGCGCTTTTGGAGAATAAAACTTGTTCGAATGCTGTACGTGCTCCTATCGGATTATCACAGGGAAAGCCGCGTGTATCACTGATGTGTGCTAATCATGAATAAAATATTGTGTAAATAGTTTTTGAAAAGGGAGGGAAGGAGATGGAGTGGAAAGGAGGGAAGAGAATACAGAATCTGATGGAGAGAGAGAGTAAAAACACAAGGCTTGTTCTCATAGTGGAGGTGTGGCGTGTGAAGAGGATGTAACCGGGGAAATGGCTTCGGTTCCGGGCGCGACTCTTACCCATTGTCTCCGTGGCTCATCCACTTGCGGAAGAATTCTCTGGAAAGCTGCAGGCAGTCTTCCAGGCCCAGCCAGCACGCGGTTCTGAACAGCTTTTCCAGCGACAGGCTTGAAGGAACACAGAGACGGGCAGCCTCGCGTTCCCTCGCCCCACCTTCATTTCCCCGGCTTTCCCGAAGCCTTGTCTCACAAAAGGACGAGGGCCGGACGGGGTCTGGGGTGTTTTATTTTGTTAAAACAGATGGCTTTCGTGATGACAACCACACTTAGGGTGCAGAGAAGCATTTGCCGACAGCCTCGGGGCGCTAAGATAGTTCCAAAGACTCGCTTTTTTTTTCCCCCTTTGGAAAGTTAGAAATGCATCACTACCCCCCTCATCTCCTCCAAACACACCGTCCACGCTCAACCTCCTGACCACCAGCGGGAGTGTCCAGCACGTGCGCGCGCCCTCCTCTGGACAGCTCTGGACATTTGTGCTCTCTCATTCTCTCTCCCCCCATCTCTCTCTCCCTCTCCTCTCTCCCTCCTCTCTTCTCTCTTTCTCTCTCTCTCCCCCCACCCTGGCCCCCACAAGTGCCTGCAACAAGACAGAGTTCTGAGGAGATGCAGACTCTCCCCAAGGTTACTCAAGAGAAGACTGACCCACCCACCCACCCACTGACTGACTGACCGACCAGGCCCCAGGGCGCTACACAAAACAACCCGAACCTCCCCACGGCACGCAGCCCGGCCCCCGTTCATCCACAGGACACAGCGACCCGCCCACCCACCCCACCTGGGCCTCCCCACCTTCCAGCTGGGGCCCACGACATTCCACGTCTCCCCCGCCCCATCCCCTGCCCCGTGCCTTTCATTCTTCCCACACCATCAGGACAGACTGACCCCAGTGGGGACATGCCCACGGGCAAGCGGCTGACACAGGTCTGCCCCCCCCCCAGCCTTCACGAGCATCCCAACCACAGGCCAGCCACCTCCAATGTGAAGGCATAGGGCGATTCTAGCCAGTAACCCGCTGTGTGAACATACAGAGCTGTGTATGTGTACGCACACACACACATAGAAGGCAAATTAAGACCCACATCCTTGTGTCATCGAAGGATCCAGGTAGTTGAAACTAGAATCCCCCAAAGCCTCACAAACGCTCTGGACCGAGTAATGCTTATCTAGACCGTGGTTCACACACGGAGGGCCGGGCGCTAACCGCAGGCATCCGATGGGTGATCGCTGCCTGGAAATACCTACAGAGCCAGAAAGTCATCTTCCAAGGCCGCGGGGTCCTCCCGGATGATCGCCGAGTATACCTCCCAGATGGGGTGGAGTCTCTTCAGCAGATACTTCTGGAAACCACAAGGGAGGAAACATTGTTAGTTATGACTCCGTAGAGACACAGCGGGCACTTCTGTGATCCTGTGGTATAAAACTGGCTTTAATGTTTCTAGGCTCCATTCCCTTCTACGTAAGGCCTGGCCACGGGAATGTCAAGGGGGCTGTGTTGTGGCGATCAAACGATCTACTGTACTGCGGACTGCACAGGCCACCCAGCCAGGGTCCGCAGCAGCTGCTTCTCCCTTAAAACCAACGCCAAGGCCAAACAGAGGAAGAACATGTAAAAATATAAAACCTCTCTACCTTGAAACTCTGTCCTAACTCCATACATCCCTATGCACCTGTATACTGATTATAGATGTTCATATAAGCAAGTAAGTGTGTATATATAGTCATAAATACATATACGGGTGTACATTTCTAATAGAAAACATTTTCAAATAAATACTATCCTATGAGGAAAAAATAATAGCCTATGTTATTCTTAGGATACAGTGTCACTTTACCAAAAACATAGAACCCAAACCAGGAGCCAATGGCTCACATCTATCATCCCAGCTACTCAGGAGGCTGAAAGCTGAGTATTGTGGTTCAAAGCCAGCCTGGGCAGAAATGTCTCCTTGAAACTCTTATCTCCAATGAACCACGTACAAACCAGAAGTGGCATTATGGCTCAAAGAACTCAGGGACAGCGCCCAGGTCCTGAGTTCAATCCCTACAATGGACAAACAACCCTTCCAGATTTATTTCATACTCATCTTCTAGACCAGGTCTATACCTAAACTGTTTTCTTCTAAAAATATCTAAGAAAATGAGGCCGGCCGCTGGTGGCTCACGCCTGTCATCCTAGCTACTCAGGAGGCTGAGATCTGAGGATCATGGTTCAAAGTCAGCTTGGGCAGGAAAGGCCATGAGACTCGTATCTCCAATGAACCACCAGAAAGCCAGAAGTGAAGTTGTGGCTCACAGTGGTAGAGCGCTCGCCTTGAGCAGAAAAGGTCAGAGACAGTGCCCAGGCCCTGAGTTCAAGCCCTACCACTGACAAAAAGAAAACAAAAATGAAATGAAATGAATAGGCCACTGCTTTGGGAAAGTCTTTTCATGAAGACGCCCGCTGGGGGAAGGTGAGCGGGAGAGGGATTTACTGGAGAATACCAGACACGCACGATTACCTTCAGTAACAGGTATGAGTCGTAGTTGTTGGCATCAGAAACAAGGTGTCTGGTGTCCAAGTTTACCAAGACTTCGTTCCACACGATGATCTCATCTTCTTCTGCAAGGTACTTGGTTAGGTCGAGCGCGGTCTCAATCTCCACATAGTTGTTTCTGTTTGATTGAGAAGCGCACACACGCTCAGACGCGCCTTCGTCCACTGTGTGGATCGCACCCTTTCCATATTCCTTCCCGGTAGCGGCGGACACACTCGTCAAGAAGTGGCCACTGACATCACAAGAGAGAACAAGGGGTCCCCAGGAAAGAAAGAAAGAACATGCCACCGCTGTGACTGGTCTGAACGACGCTCTGGGGGGTGGGAAATGACGTCAGACCCACGAGGGAACAGATCTAGGTGTTTCAGCAAACGCGCATCGGAATTTCCTGCCGGTGACGGGAGGGGAAACCGAGTAAAGACCCGACAGGTACTCAGGAAATGCAACTGACCGAAAAGAGATCTCTCAGGCTGACTGCTTATACATTCTCCTTAGTATCTGGGAAGCAGAAATAGGGCCTAAAACTCCAGGCTGGGGGTTTTCCGGGCAGCAGCCCCACCGCCTGGACCGGACGTGGGCCGGCCCTTTCGGAGCTGGTTATTTCTGAGCTGAGGGTCTCTCTTTGTGCTCGGATTGGTCTAGACTCACGCTCCCTCCCTTTGTACTTCCTCGTGGAGCTGAGATTACAGGAGCGTACCACCATGCTGAGCTATTGCTTGAGATGGAATCTCAGGAGGTTTTTACATGGCTGGCCTCGAACCATGATCCTCTAGGTAACCCCCTCTCGAGGATCAAGGACTACACACAGGGCTTTTGCCACAGTGCCCAGCGGCTTGCCGAGCTCTATTGCCTGAAAACGTAAATCTTGGACAGACAATCATTTATACCCAGCAGTGAAGCCTATACGGGGGGAAATCTGTTGTAGGTAAAATCAACAATTGTGCATTTTGATCTCATTAAAATGGGAGCTGCAGCCCATCAGTCAGCTTTGGGCAACTTCAAAACCTCTCAACTGAGCATCTGTTCATTTCCACCAATTCTTTCTGTTTAAATTCCATCTGAATACCCCCACTGGACCCCTGTTCTAAGCAGGTAAGGCTTGCGAAGGCTACAGATCCAGATTCACAGCCGTGGGCCGTGGTCTTTTATAAAGTTCACGAGGTTCACCCAAAGCCACGAGAGAAGAAAAGGTACTCACTTAGACAAGAAAAACGCATCGCCCAGCAACTGTAGTCTGTGTATCACAGGGATGGCCTGGCGTATGAAGACCCAAATAGGTACAGGGGAAAAAAATTGAGGACATCTTTTTAGTGATTTATTTTTTTTTCTTCCAGACAACAACAATAACAGCTTGCCAGAATCTGGGCTGCGTAGAAATCACTGCTGTGGGAATTATCTCAAGTGCAGAAAAACAAAGTGACGGAGAGAGGACGCTCCCCGAGACTCATCTGTTTCCGATCATTGACTCCTCTGGAATTTAATCATCCAGTGGAGTTTTCCCAAAACACAGCATGGGGGAAAAAATAAAATAAGATAGGCGACCGTACTTAAAAGAGTCAACCAAAGGCTCCAACACAGCCAGTGGGAACTGAACTCTTACTCCTAGAACCAGACATTTTTTATTTTATTTTTTGGGTCCGGTCGTGGGGCCTGAACTCTGGGCCTGGACGCTGTCCCTCAGCTCTTCAGCTCAAGGCGAGCGCTCTACCACTTGAGCCACAGCGCCACTTCCGGCTTTTTTTCTTTTTGCGTATGTGGTGCTGGGGAATCGAACCCAGGGCCTCATGCATGCAAGACAAGAGCTCTACCACTGAGCCACCTTCCCAGCCCCCAGACAACATTTTGGTGCTTACAGACTTCATGTTTCATAGTGTCTTTAAATTAAAAAATAATAATAAATGAACATTTTAAACCAAGCTCTTACTTGTATTGACATATTAATGTCTTGTGAATCATTTCTTCTCCACAAAGGAAAGCGGAAATCTAATTGTCGTAGTGAAGCTAGTGGTTTTCTAGCATATACTAAATATCTATTGTGGGTTCAATTTTAGGCATATGTTATATATTGTTTGTTTTTGTTTGTTTGTTGTTGTTTTGTCTGTCATGGGGCCTGAACTCTGGGCCTGGGCGCTATCCCTCAGCTCTTCAGCTCAAGGCTAGCGCTCTACCACTTGAGCCACAGCGCCACTTCCGGCTTTTTTCTTATGTGGTGCTGAGGAATCGAACCCAGGGCCTCATGCATACAAGGCAAGCGCTCTACCACTGAGCCACCTTCCCAGCCCTTAGGTATATTATTTTAACTACTCCACCTCACATCGTCACAGGATTGTAATTGGATCCCATTCCCGTTTTACTTTAGAATAAAGAATCGGAATAGAACATTTGAAGCGCTTGCCAGAGTTCACAAAACTGCTGAGGAATAGGAACGTGCACTCTGGCTCTTACCGACAGAGCCCAAATTAATTTGGAAAAGCGAGAAGAACGTCTAAAAAACTACAGGAGATCCATCCAAAATACCACCTCTTCCTGAACATAAGAAGCAATATTCTCCAGGACGGCTGAGGGCGCGCGGTGGGACTCTCCCAACACCACAGAGATCGCTCTCTGAAAGACTGCAGGCCACACACACCTGTCACCACCGCTGCTACTCCGGAGGCAGAGGTGACAGGATCTTGGGCAAAAACAAAACCACGAAACCATAGGGCTGGGGACACGGCTCGAGTGGTACTTATGCTCAAGTAGTGTATGTTTAGTCCCTGGATTCAATTCCTGATACTGCAGAGAGAAAGAGGAGGGAGGAAAGGGTAAGGGAAGGGAAAGAGAAGAATAGGGAAGAGAGAAGAGAAAAAAGGAGGAGGGATGGAGGGAGGGAGAGAGGGTAGGAAGGAGGGAAGAAAGCGGACCATGTACTATGAATAATAATACTTAATTAAAAGCATCACAAGTGACCTTACCTTAGGATCTCTTTCAAGCTGCTCACTTAATTTCATCCAACCTAATTTATCATAATTAACCCTATAATATCCAGTCACATTCAGATTTAAAATCACCCAGTCATGGTCAGACTCTGAAAGCCGCATTTCAGGGAACACTTCTACAAAACAACCGCAGAAAGAGCAGTCTGAGATGCTGTGTCTGTTAAGGATTTCAATACATTTTATACCTCTCAGTTCTTTTGTGATTGGTGGTGGTCACGGCGCTGTCCCTCAGCTCTTCGGCTCAAGGGCAGTGCTCTACCACTTTGAGCCACAGCGCCACTTATGGTTTTCTGGTGGTTCATGGGAGAGAAGAGTCTCACAGACTTTCCTGCCTGGGCTGGCTTTGAACCTCGATCCTCAGATCTCAGCTGCCTAAGTAGCTAAGATGACAGGTGTGAGCCACCGGTGCCCAAAATAAAACTGCTGGAATGCTAACCTATGAAATCATACCATACAGTACTACTTTAAACATATAACCAGCCAGGCACCGGTGGCTCACGCCTGTCATCCTAGCTACTCAAGAGGCTGAGATCTGAGGATCACGGTTCAAAGCCAGCCAGGGCAGGAAGAGTCTATGAGATTCTTATCTGCAATAAACCACCAGAAAACCAGAAGTGGCGCTGTGGGTCAAGTGGTAGGGCACGTGCCTTGAGCTGAAGAGCTGAGGGACAGCACCCAGGCCCAGAGTTTAAGCCCCATGGCCGACAAATAAAGAAATAAATAAACAAACATATAATGACCTTTGATTGAAAACTTTTCTTAAGACCTCTATATTCAACAAGAACAAAACACTTTTCTGGTTTTTTTCTTTTTCTTTTCTTTTCTTTTTTTTTGGTCAGTTATGGGTCTTGAACTCAGGGCCTGGGTGCCGTCCCTCAGCTCTTCAGTTCAAGGTGAGCCCTCTACCACTTGAGCCCCAGCACCACTTCTGGTTTTCTAGTGGTTTACTGGCAATAAGAATCTCACAGATGGGCTGGGAAGGTGGCTCAGTGGTAGAGTACTTGCCTTGTATGCATGAGGCCCTGAGTTCAATTCCTCAGCACCACATAAGCAAAAAGAAAAAAGCCGGAAGTGGCGCTGTGGCTCAAGTGGTAGAGTGCTAGCCTTGAGCTGAAGAGCTGAGGGACAGCGCCCAGGCCCAGAGTTCAGGCCCCAGAACCAGACCCCAAAAAAAAAAAACAGAAAACAAGAATCTCACAGACTTTCCTGCCCGGGCTGACTTTGACCACAATCCTCAGATCTCAGCTTCCTGAGCAGCTAGGATGACAGGCGTGAGCCACCGGCGCCTGGCTTACTTTTCTTAACAATACATTGTAATCTGTGAATTAAGTAAAGAGTTTGATAGCTAGACATTTTGACATCCTGTCTTCATGAATGGTTACATGTGAAGCGGGAAATCGAATTGTTGACTTACTGCTGTCTTTCTCTAGCCAGACTAAAGACTGTGCCTTTCCGCTCCTCATCCAGCCAATAGGGACAATCCACGTGCCACTGCGTGGAAGAAAAGAAAGAAAGAATAGGTAAGATGAAAGAGGTCATAAAAAAACCAGCAGGCAATGCTCTCAAGTTCCTTGGGGTATGCAGGACTTAGGCCGTGTTCATCCATACTGCTGAGATTCCCCCATCTCAAAAGCACAGCCGGCAGAAGATTTGCATCACAAGCAGCTCTCCCAGGGAGACAAACAGCAGCGAAGGCATCTGACAACTGATGGTTCATTTGTTCTGAGGCGTGAGGATCAAACTGTCACAGCGATGGAAGTTATCAGGAAAGGGGAGGGGAGGGAGGGAAGGAAGGGAAGAGGAAGGGCAGATAAATGCTTGGCTTCTACTCATCAACCTTTGTTTCCAACCATCAATAACTATAATCAAATTATACCTACTTAAGATGAGGCCATGGGTCCTTAAGAGAATTTACACAAGATCCTACCTCGGTTTGGGGTTTAGTAAATCAGTACGTGACTAAATATCTAAACAGAAGCCTTAATTCTAATATCCTGGGTATGGCCTTGAAGACGCACCAATGTACGCATGCACACACATGCACGCCACATGTATACACAGGATGTTCACACTGGGGCACACAAGCACTGAGCTATTTATTGTTCAAGGACAGAGCTGCTAATCCCTGTGGCGCCATATTGCTTACCTCGGACCCAGACTATGAAGCGTGGATATTTAGAGCACTAGGGCGCTCTAAGTCCCAGAGCAAAGAATATTGAGATCCCTGATCGCCAGTCGCTGGCGTTGTCCAGACCCCAGGGCTCTGTCCCCCAGCACACAGTGACATCACCGCCCTTCCCCCACTGGGTGACTGAAGGCAGGCTCAGAGACACCTACTTGTGGGCCAGGAGCGTCCGGTTCTCAGCCTTCTCCAGGTAGAAGGGCTCCTGCGTCACGGCGCCAGTGGAGGCGTTCAAGGTGACCACGGGAAAGCCACTCTGCTGCGTCCACGTGTCCATGATGGCTTTCACCGTCGCCGGCAAAGCGATCTGTGTCTGGTTATCTATGGCCTGTTTCGGGAAAAGTCACCAAAGCCTCAGAAGCAGCAAGATCCTAAGAAGAGATCATTCCCCTCCCGCGGGCAGGCAGCAGCCCAGTGTGGGATCCGCCCCTGGACCGGTTCCCTGCCGTTGCTCTCTACGGGGTTTCTCTTGAGCATCCCAGAGGGATTCATGGCAGGACAGGATCTGAAATGCCTGGTTTACAACAGCTTTTGCAGGTAAGCCACGCCCACCTCCCGCAGAACATCTCCAGGTTATTCATGAAACCTATCATGGACCAAGCAGCCACCTGTAGTGATACTGCTGAGGATGGCAGTTAGACAGCTGGTAGATACGAACTCAAGCCTTCCCTCACTCGCTGAGAATACGTTGACCATATTCATGGGTGTCATTTGTACCAGGCTGCTCGAGAAAGACAATATAATCCCCAATGCAGGGAAAACGACAAATCCGGAAACCCGGGTTTCCTGTAGAACTCTGACATCCACCACGGCCTTCCTACAAGCCAGATGAAAAACTCATCCAAAAAAAAAAAATGTCCCGGGCTGGGAAGGCGGGTCAGTGGTAGAGCGCTCGCCTCGCATGCATGAGGCCCTGGGTTCGATTCCTCAGCACCACGTGAGCAGAAAAAGCCAGAAGTAGTGCTGTGGCTCAAGTGGTAGAGCGCTCGCCTTGAGCTGAAGAGCTGAGGGACAGCGCCCAGGCCCAGAGTTCAGGCCCCACGACCGGACCCCCCCCAAAAAAAAATGTCCCAAAGTATGATAATCACCATCTGAAAATGGCTCCACAGATCATCTTGCTCAGCATTCGAGTAAGAAAACGCCTCCAAATACGACTGTGGAAACAAAGAAGATGATGTTTAAAAAAAAACAACAACAAAAAAGCATACCGAAGCAACTTATGTTGACTGCCACAGAGTAATGTCTTGTAAACTTACCCTCAGGGAGCCGATAAATAACTGCTCATTTAGGAAACAGGAGAGCATCCGGACCAGAGACGCTCCCTAGGACATAAGAACCCGTTCATTATTTGAACAAAATTCAATAACTACATGCCAAAACCACTCCCCGGTGATCTGCAAGGTTCTGGGTTCTGACCACATTTACGCTCTAAAGAGATACTTGAATTATCCACCGAATACGCTATCAATTGGAAAAAGATGAGCAAATGTCCTCTGTATAAATAGTTCGGGAAACACAGGTTGTTTTTCGCGTTTTATGGTTGTTATTATTAAGTAGGTGTACAAAGGGGTTACAATTCCACCAGTCAGCCGGGAGCCTCCGCCGCACTTCCTGCTTTCTTTCCCCTTCCCCCTTCTGTTCTTACCCTCAAGTTACATAGCTCTTTTTTTGGTCCGGTCGTGGGGCCTGAGCTCTGGGCCTGGGCGCTGTCCCTCAGCTCTTCAGCTCAAGGCTAGCACTGTACCGCTTGAGCCACAGCGCCACTTCTGGCTTTTTTCTTTTTGCTTATGTGGTGCTGAGGAATCAAACCCAGGGCCTCATGCATGCAAGGCAAGCGCTCTACCACTGAGCCACCTTCCCAGCCCCTCTTTTTTTTTTTTTTTTAACATAATGTATGTTGAAAATAATGACTACACTTGCTCACCCTTCTTCACAAGGATTATTAAGTGGAAATAGCTACAAGTAATAACAGATTCCTATCGAACCAAATGGATTTGCCTTTAGCACAGCAAGCTGAGTGAGTTTGTTCAAAAATGGGAGATGGTGGGCCAGGCACCGGTGGCTCACGCCTGTCATCCTAGCTACTCAGGAGGCTGAGATCGGAGGATGGCGGTTCAAAGCCAGCCCAGGGCAGTAAAGTCTGTAAGACTCTTACCTCCAGTAAACCACCAGAAAACAAGAAGTGGCACTGTGGCTCAAAGTGGTAGAGTGCTAGCCTGGAGCAAAAAAAAAGCCCAGGGATAGTGCCCAGGCCCCGGGGTTTAAGCCCCATGACTGACCAAAAAGCAAAAGGTAGATGGAACCTAACATCTAAGATAGGGCTCAGGTGACAGTTACTAGGTTAGAGCCCATTTTCTGAAACCCATTTATTTGGTAAAATAAAATCAAGGGCATTCATACCAGCAGCTGAAAATTTCATAGAAGTCTCTACTCTGCAGAATGCACAAGATGCAAAGTCCTGCCCAGGGAATGTCTTTCTGCTCTTACCTTGTAGTATGTGAATAAATCAAACAGGCCGACGATCTCATTGGTTCCCGTGAAATTCTCTCCCTTCACCAACACGGCCCTGGACTCCAGGGCGTGGTCTTCTCTCAGGACCCCATACAAAAGGTTGGAAAAAAAGAGCTCATTCTGTCGAGGGAAAGATGGAGCCTCATCAGCCCGCCAGGTGTGGTGGAAACGCAAAGTTCAAAGGTCCAGAAATCATTTCCCAAACTCATATCAAAGAGGAAAGACAGAACCATTGAGAAGTCATAGCCAACTTCTCCTTTGCATACAATAGATAGGTAAATAGGTAAATGGATAGAAAGGTGATAGCTAGTTAGATGACAGATAAAGAAATGATAGACTAGCTAGGCACTGGTGGCTCACGCCTGTCATCCGAACTACTCAGGAGGCTGAGATCTGAGGATCATGGTTCAAAGCCAGCCCAGGCAGGAAAGTCCATGAGACTCTTATCTCTAATAAACCACTCAGAAAACCAGAAGTGGCGCTGTGGCTCAAGTGGTAGAGCACTCGCCATGAGCTGAAGAGCTGAGGGACAGCACCCAGGCCCCGAGTTCAAGACCCACCACCGACAAATAAATAAATACGACACCATGAATGGTCTCTAGTGCTCGCACCACTTTCAGCACACACGTTGGGGCGCACTCACCTTGAGGAGCGTGGGGTTGAAGTGGCTCGTGACCCCGAACTCCAAGTACGACGCAAAGCCCTCATTAAGCCAAAGGTCATTCCACCATTTCATGGTGACCAAATTTCCAAACCACTTTTAGAGATGGAAGATAAAAAGAAGAAGAATTTTCTTAAATTTAAGTCGTATTTACCGTAATGCATGCTAAACAAATAGAAGGCAATCAAACATTTTTTTAAAATCAGTCATGGGTCTTGAACTCTGGGTCTGGGCACTGTCCCTCAGCTCTTCAGCTCAAGGCGAGCGCTCTACCACTTGAGCCACAGCGCCACTTCCACTTTCTGGTGATTCATTGGAAATAAGAGTTTCACGGATTTTCCTGCCCGGGCTGTCTTCAAACTGTGATCCTCAGATCTCAGCCTCCTGAATGGCTAGGATGACATGTGTGAACCATCAGCACCTGACTGGTAATTAAACTTTACCATTGATAATAAAACACGAAAACAAGACTGTACAAGAATGCAAGTTCTTATTTAAACATAACGAAACATCTAACATGCATCTCTCTGAAATAATGATTTTTACCTCTCATGACTGGATGCAATTTGTGTTTAAAAAAAAAACAACTGTGATGTTTAAATGTAAGATCACGTAGAGTAGTATTTCTTACAGTTAAAGAATATATTTAGCCGGGCGCCAGTGGCTCACGCCTGTCATCCTAGCTACTCAGGAGGCTGAGATCTGAGGATCGTGGTTCAAAGCCAGCCCAGGCTGGAAACTCTGTGAGACTTTTATCTCCAATGAACCACCAGAAAACCTGAAGTGGCGCTGTGGCTCAAACAGTAGAATGCTCGGTTGGAGTTGAAGAGCTGAGGGACAGCACCAGGCCCAGAGTTCAAGCCCCACAACCAACAAAAAAAACAACAACAAAAAGAATATATTTAGCCAGGTGCCGGTGGCTCACGCCTGTCATCCTAGCTACTCAGGAGGCTGAGATCTGCAGATTGTGGTTCAAATCCAGCCCAAGAAGGAAAGGCTGTGAGACTTATCTCTAATGGACCACCAGAAAACCGGAAGTGGAGCTGTGGTAGAGCGCTTACTTTGAGCTAGAGAGCTTAAGGACAGCGCCCAGGCCCTGAATTCAAGCCCCACGACCAACAAAATAAATAAATATTATATACATATATATATATTTCAATATACAGAAGGCCTGAATGCTCACTTACTAGCTATTACCTTTTTTTTGGGGGGGGTCCAGTTGTGGGGCCTGAACTCTAGGCCTGGGCGCTGTCCCTCAGCTCTTCAGCTCAACGCTAGCACTCTACCACTTGAGCCACAGCGCCACTTCCGGCTTTTTTCTTTTTGCTTATGTGGTGCTGAGGAATCGAACCCAGGGCCTCAGGCATGCAAGGCGAGCGCTCTACCACTGGGCCAACTTCTCAGCCCCCTAGCTATTAACTTTTAACCTTTGGTGTAAGCAAACGTATGGGTGTTTTAATTGCACTGGTTATTTTTATTGAATTTTTGTTGTTATTGTAAAGGGGATGTGCAGAGGGGTCGCAGGTAAGTCGGGTGATGAGTCCATTTCTTTTCTTCCCCCTCCCTCTCTGTCTCCCAGTTTTCCCCTCCTGTCCCCAGCACAAGTTGTATGGTTCATTGTCCACGCCGTGTCCAGTGAGGCCCACGGCTGCCTCGCTCAGCTCACCCCTTGCAAATGTGTGTTTCAAGGCTACGATCTGGGCCCTGCCCCACGCACATGTCCCCAAGAAATCTGCAACTCGGTCCAGCTGCAATTATGTCCTACTGGAGCTCGTGGGCCAAGAGGAGTGGGCTCTGAGCAGAATTAGTTAAGAAAAACACAAGATTTCTCCAACATCAACAAACCCACACGCCAGAAGCTACCCAGAAATTCTTCCGATAGCAGCAAAGCTGCCCGAATGCCAAAACCACCTCAGCTGCCATGAGAAAATCTGCCCGTGGCTCTGAGAGTCATTCGCACCCAGCAGCTCGGGAAGCCCCGCAGCCCAGTCTGACTGTCCCAGAAGCCCGGAGCAACTTCTGAGAGTCCCTTGGTCTAGGACACTAATCTGTCTGCGCTGTCCTGAGGATTAATATCGGTTCCCCCCAGTTCACCATGCCTGAATCCATTTCCTCGCTCTCCAAAATAAAATTAATTGAAGGCTGAAATTAATCCATCTGCGACCTTTTTTTTTTTTTTCTGGTGGGTGGTGGGGCTTGAACTCGTGGCCTGAGCGCTGTCCCTCAGCTCTTCAGCTCAAGGTGAGTGCTCTACCTCTTGAGCCTCGGCACCACTTCCAGTTTTCTAGTGGTTAATTGGAGATAAGAGTCTCACAGAGTTTCCAGCCTGGGCTGGCTTTGAACCGCGATCCTCAGATCTCAGCCTCCTGAGTAGCTAGGATGACAGGCGTGAGCCACCGGTGCCTGGCTCAGCGACCTTTCTGAATATTCCTTTTTTCCTTCTTTTTCTCCTTCATCCTCCCCTCTCTTCTTCTCTCCCTCCTTCTCCGCCCTCCCTCCTCCTTTCTTCCCCTTTCCTCTCTTCCCCCTCCACACTGTCTCTGGCGGGAGAGGACCTGCAGACTTCAGGATTGCCAGGCAAGCAATCTCCCACGTGGGCCCTTTCCCCAGTTCTGTGCGCTTTCGTTTACTTTTTAGATGGGGTCTTGTGCTTTTGCCCTTGGAATGTGATCCACCTATCTTCACCTCCTGAGTTGCTGAGGACAGGCGTGCACCACCCCGCCTGGCCCCCTGCGGCTTACCTTCCTTAAAGAGGAACTGAGTCTTCACAGGTAAGTCCTCAGCCTGGACTAGACTGGTTCTCATCCTTATGATCCACCGCTGGTAGTTCAAATCTAACTGGACCCACTACCCAGAGGCCTTCCCTGTCGCCCTTGTTTTGAGAGTGATTCTCTCTCTCTCTCTCTCTCTCTCTCTCTCTCTCTCACACACACACACATACCCGGTAGTGCTTTGTTATCTGCTATTTGGAGTACAGCAGCTGGAGAAAACAAGGAGGGACGTTTTACCACGTGCCTGGTGTCCGACCTCGTGGGACACGATGTAGGAGATGAGCGTCTTTTTTTCCGCCAGATCCTGGCTGGGTGGCAGCAGCAGCAGGGCCTCATCAAACATCAGCAGCCCCCAGTTCTCCATGGCCCGCGCGTCGAAGACGGGCAGAGCCACGAGATCTAAGTGGATTGACGCAGGGGAATTGATGAGACCAGCGTTTCGCGTTGTTTTGCTTTGTTTTCCTCCCAGGGCTGAGATCCTAGCTATCAATCATCTCAAAAATGAAGTCATAAAAGTTTGGAAGAAGCAAGTGAGTATTTATAACCTAAGAAGTCTTTTTTTTTTTAAATAAAAAGTAAATACCAAAGACAGAGATCAGGAAATAAATGGTTTTGACTCTATATCAATCAAAGGAGTTCAAGGCCCAGGCTGGCTTTGAACTCCTGTCTCCACCCCTCAAGTGCTGAATTACAAGCAGGTGCCCAATAGCCAGGATCCTGTGAGTCTGTCTGATGAAGGGCCTCCACCCAGACAGACAGAGAACCCTTAAAACTCAACCACCGCCACACAAAACGGGCAGAAGATCTGAACACACACACCGCGCTCAAGAAGCTACAAATGACAAACAGACGTCAAAAGACACGGAGTATCTAAAGGAGCAGAAAATTAAAGCCACAGGAGACCACTCTCAGGGTGGGGAGCCGGCGTGGTGAGGCCCGGCTGTAATCCCAGCTCCTGGGCAGGCAGAGTGTCAGAGTCAGGGTCCCAGGCCAGCCTGGGGAATAAAGTTAGTGAGACCACCTCCAAACCAGCAAGCTGGGAGACCCCGAAAGCCGGAAAGGATGGAGTGAGGCCGAGTCAGAGGCCCTGAGCTTGAGCCCCGGAACTCAGCACCAGGACCCTGATGGTGCTTTCTCTCCTGGACACGGTCACAGGGAGAGAATGCAGGCAAGAATTCATTATAGAAGCTGGGTGCTGGTGGCTCACACCTGTTATCCCAGCTGCTCAGGAGGCTGAGATCTGAGGATTGTAGTTCAAGGCCAGCCCGGGCAGGAAAGACCGTGAGACTCTTATCTCCCACGAACCACCAGAAAACTAGAAGTGGTGCTGTGGCTCAAGTGGTAGAGCACCCACCTTGAGCTGAAGAGCTGAGGGACAGCGCCCAGGCCCAGAGTTCAAGCCCCACAACCACCAACAACAATGACAAAAAGAATATTTAGGGGTGGAGGAAACTGATCCTACAGAGGGAAATGCCCAGGGCCCTGTGGGGGGGTGCGGGAGAGGCAGGGAGGCCCCGGGGCGCCCAGGAGCAGCCTGAGCCTTGGGGGGGGGCCGGGGTCAGCCCACTGGGCACAGGGCACCACACAGGGCAGGGGCCAAAGCTGCCGAGTCTGGAGCCCCCAAACTGGAGCTGGTAGCTTGACGTCGTTATGCGGGCTCACCCCGGGGTCCCCTGCGCCTTACCTGTCTTTGGAAGAGGATAGCTGATGTTAAATAAATCCTCCAGAAACGAGAAGATGGGGCCCGTGATGTTCAGGGCAAAGTCGGCGTGGCCGCGGGCAATGGCGTCCGCGCGGGCCCACACGCTGATCTACGGGGGAGGCGGGGAGGCAGCCATGGATAATGATCGGGGGCAATGCTGACCCCCGTCCACCCCCATCCACCCCCGTCCACCCCCCACGCTGCTCTACAGCATAGCCCTGGCCGGTCACCAGCGGAACTGAGCATGTGAGAAACATCCCACAAGGCAATTCGCTCACCAGTGAGCGGCACAACCAAACGCACCCCAAACCATCACAAAGTAAGTAAAAAAGAGGGAGAGAGGGGAAGGCGAAGGAAGAGGAACGCGGGGGAAGGGGAGACTCTCCTGTGAGTTCTTTATGTACGCGTTCAAACCCCACCACAAAAACCCTTCCTGCCGTTCGTCTGTGCTAACTCTGATCTCCAATAAACCACCCGAAAACCGCTCGTGGCGCCGTGGCTCAAGTGGTCGAGCACTCGCCTTGAGCTGAAGAGCTGAGGGACAGCGCCCAGGCCCAGAGTTCGAGTCCCATGAACGCTTGCCTAGGCAAGTATGAGGTTCTGGGTTCAATGTCCACAATAAAAATAAACAAAACATAATCCCAACTTCCTTTCTAAAAGTTAAGATTCATTCCTCGAATTCCAAGGAACTCTCGCCATTTTTTCTGATTTGTGGCTCAAGCAGGAGGCTTGCCGGTCGCACGAGCACCACCCGAATTGGACACATTTTATATTCTACACCAATAGCATCCAAGCCATTCTCTCTTTTTTTTTAGTCAGTCATGGGTCTTGAACTCTGGGCCTGGGCGCTGTCCCTCAGCTCTTCAGCTCAAGGCGAGCGCTCTACCACTTGAGCCACAGCGCCACTTCTGGTTTTCTGGTAGCTCATTGGAGATCAGAGGCTCACAGAGTTTCCTGCCCAGGCTAGCCTTGAACCTCGATCCTCAGATCTCAGCCTCCTGAGTAGCTAGGATGACAGGCGTGAGCCCCCTGCGCCCGGCATTAAGCCATTCTTAATAGACGCTCCAGCATGTTCTTCAGAACCTGCATAAAACTAGAAACCCGTGGAGCAGAAGTGAGAGGTAAGGAAAGGAAAATGTGAACGCAGTTAGCTTCAGAAACAGCTGAGTGCAGAGCACAGAGGAGAGCCGGGATTACAGATGTGCAGCACCATGCCCTCCGATTACGTCTCGTTCGGCCAACCCCTCCACCCCGCACCCTCACGCACCTCTTTCCCCCGCTCCGTCCTGCTGACGCGGTCAAAGTCACACACCACAAATGCCACCAAGTACGTGGGCATCGGGGGCGTGGTGTGGAACGTGGTGACCGTCCACCGGCTTCCGTCCTGGTCTACCATCTCCGACTGACCTAGGGGAAACCAGCTTCAGTCTGGGCGACTGCTGACGGAGGCCATTTCCAACTCGGAGGCCCTTGGCTGGGTGGGTTCCCGGCATGTCCTATAATCCAGTGGGACGGAGTTCCCTCCTTACCAGGAACCATCCAACTACACGAAGGAGTCGATCAAGCCCCAGTGTGTCTGTGTCTCTGTCCCTTTCTATCTGTCTCTGTCTCTCTCTCTCTCCAGGATGTAAACGTGGAGTAATAATAAAGGCAACAGTAGCACCACCTACCCTGATTTGATCAGTACACACTGTAACTTATAAATATGTATCACTATGATGCAGTCCAGAATCTTCTCTAGTGCTTCCGGGAGTGGGCCTGCATGCTCCCCGCCCAGATTTGACCACAACTTGGCAGCCCTTGTGTGATTTTTGTGCCAGTCCTGTGGTTTGAATGCAGGGCCTGGGCGCTGTCCCTCGGCTCTTCAGCTCAAGGCGAGCGCTCTACCACTTGAGCCACAGCGCCACTTCCTGTTTTCTGGTGGTTTGTTGGAGATCAGAGTCTCACGGTCTTTCCTGACCAGGCTGGCTTTGAACCGCGATCCTCAGATCTCAGCCTCCTGAGTGGCTGAGATTCCAGGCCTGAGCCACCGACGCCCGGAGGACACGTTGTATTCTTGTATAAAATCGTCACAGGTTTTTACACATTGACAATGGACACAGCCAGGAAAGAAAAACCTAGATTTGTTTGTTTGTTTTTTTTTAAGAGACGAAGCCTCTGCGTCTCGTGGAGTGGCGCGGGTGCAGTCTTCACGTCCCGTGTGGAGAGATGGAAACACGGAGCCACTGAACTTGCGGGTGGGGCTGGGCTGGGGACAGGTCAGGGACGAGGACGCAAGGGCTGACACTGCGCAAGACACTGTGCACGCGCACGCACTACCTGACCTGTGGCGTTGACACCCCTTCATACAACCACCGAAAACTAGTGACAAGAATCAATCAAGTCGCTGGGCGCTGGTGGCTCCCGCCTGTCATCCCAGCTACTCAGGAGGCTGAGATCTGAGGATCACGGTTCACAGCCAGCCCGGGCAGGAAAGCCAGAGGGACTCTGATCTCTAACAAACCACTCAGAAAACTGGACGTGGCCAGGCGCTGGTGGCTCACGCCTGTCATCCTAGCTACTCAGGAGGCTGAGATCTGAGGATCGTGGTTCAAAGCCAGCCCGGGCAGGAGAGACCATGAGACTCCTATCTCCAATAAACCACCAGAAAACCGGAAGTGGCGCTGTGGCTCAAGTGGTAGAGCGCTCGCCTTGAGCTGAAGAGCTGAGGGACAGCGCCCAGACCCAGAGTTCAAGCCCCAGGACCGACCAAAAAAAAAAAGAAAACTGGACGTGGCGCTGTGGCTCAAGTGGTAGAGCGCTTGTCTTGAGCTAAAGAGCTGAGGGTCAGCGCCCAGGCCCAGAGTTCAAGCCCCACGACCGACAAAAAAAAAGGAAGGAAGGAAGGAAGGAAGGAAAGGAGGGAGGGAGGGAGGGAGGGACGGAGGGAGGAAGAGGAAAAACTCAAGAGCCAAATAAAACACATCACACATCAGATTCAAACCAAGACCCCCACACCAATAATAGTGAGGTAGAACCTGGTTGGGCGGCCGCCTGTGTACCAAGCAAGGGCCCTGTTTGCCGGATTCCAGCACATAGGCAGGTCCTGCTCTGCCCGGCTGTGAGCCAGGGCACCCACGATCACGCCGCCCGGGGGAGCCGGCCGCCCCAGCCACGCCAGAGCTCGCGCCGGCAGAGCTGCGGGAGGAAGCGACTCACCCAGCGGGGGCATGTTGGACAGGGCCACGTAGCTGGGGTGGTGGATGATGGTGATGTTGAAGGTGGCCTTCAGAGCCGGCTCGTCCAGGCAGGGGAAGACGTTCCTGGCAAAGGTTGGCTCCAAATGAGACGCAATCAGAGCCCTGAAATACACCGGGGGGGGGGGGGGGGGGGAGAGAAGTTCATTTCACATTGTCCCAGATTCATGGAAGCAAAATACCTATGCAGACAGACGGATGGACAGATGGGGCGGGGGGGGGGGGCTGATCAGAAGGCCTTTGTGGAGTCGCTCCAAGCTTTCTCTGCAAGTTCGAGGCCCGCTCTGCCACACAGACCCCGCTCCCCACCACACCGGAAATCTTCAAACAAGGAGCTCATTCCTTCCCAACTACAAAATAGTATCTGCCCAACCAGCTCGTCAACCTTTCAAACTTTTTTTTTTATAAAAATATAGGAACAGACGTAGTAAAGGTGCCATGTCAACCTTTTCAGAGATGAGCCCTTAAAACACGCGGACAGGAAAGGGAGCCCGTGAGGCCTGTGCTGCTGATAGAAAGATCTAGACCCAAGACCCAGAATCCCCCCGAGCCTCAGCTCCCCCCCCCCCCAACTAGGAAACAGCAACACGATCAACTCTGTGTTGCTGCTCACGCTTTTATATTATTAGTAACTAAAGCCAGCAAGAAGCCCGGAGCCGGTGGCTCCTGCTGGTCAGCCCAGCTATTCAGCAGGCTGAGATCTAAGGACTGTGGTTCAAAGCCAGCCCGGGCAGGAAAGTCCCTGAGACTCTTTATCTCCAATGAACCACTCAGAAAACCAGAAGTGGCGCTGTGGCTCAAGTGGTAGAGCGCTCGCCTTGAGCTGAAGAGCTGAGGGACAGCGCCCAGGCCCGGAGTTCAAGCCCCATGACTTGTAAAAAACAAACAAACAAACAAACCGCTTAATAGGTTGTGAGGCAAGCTAAATATAAATCGCGTTTGACTTCCAAAAAAAAAAAAAAAAGACTAGAAGCTAGGGGTTAATTGCTGTTTATTTTTTATACGACCTCCTTTATGTTTATTTGAGTTTTCTGCACTCTTGCAAGGTCTGGGTTCACAGCTGCTCAGCCGTGAGCTGCTGTGGAGCGCACACTGCTTACTGTGAACGTAGACAGAAGAGCATGAAGCGTCTTTGCGGTTTGTTGTATCGGGATTCCGGTTGCTACGTTTAAATACAGATGAAGGACAGAAGCCGCACGACCAAAGACACGGAAACACCCAACAGAGAATTCTGCCTCCGGAGACGCCGTCCAGAGGCTCAGCAGAAACCCAGGTGCACACCTCCGGCTTTGAAGAAAGCCGCCTTTGCCCTCTCTCTAGATCTCCTTTTCTAGACAACGCAGCCCAGAAGGGCCGGGTGTCTGTGTTTCGCACTGTGATTCTAGATATTCTGGAGGCTGAGAATGGGAGAATCAGGACTGGAGGCCGGCCTGGGCAGCAATGTTCATGGCGGCCCTTCCTATCCTATAGCTGAGCACAGAGGCCTGTCATCCGCGCTTCCTGGGAGGCTGAGACTATGGAGGATTGTGTCTCGAGGCCAGGCCCTGGCAGAAAAGCCTCTGAAACGCTACTCGTGCAAGCTCGCTTCTATCTGCCCAGTTAAGACACCAAGTCTAAAACAGGCGGACGGCTGTCTGGACGGGAGCTTGGGCAAGAAGTGAAATCCTGTCTCTGAAGCAACCAGAGTGAAGAATGACTGAATGGCTGAGAGGTAGAGGGCCTACCTTTCAAGGACAGAGCCTTGAGTTCAAATCCCAGAACCTCCAGGTGATCTCAAGGGCCATTCAGAGCTTGAAAACTAATCCTGAAGAGCAAGTAAAGACATCCCAGGAACAGAGGGGGAAGGCCGGGCAGTGAGCAGGAGCCCGTGGCCGGGAGATGACCCACAGCCCTCTCTGAGCCTGGAGAACACTTCGTACGAAATGGCACGTGAACACCAAAAACAAAGCCGTGTGGCGTACAGTGAGGAAGTATATCTGATCAGAGGACGCACGGCTGTCAGTTCAGAAACTATTCAAGCGCCAACTGTTCCAGAAAGTCAGGCTTGGCGATGACCCGTCCTGTGCTGTGGCTTCCCAGCCTCTGCCTCTCAGGGGGTTTTTAAGGAACGAAGGAGGGAGAAAAACCAGGCTGCCACCAACCAGTGCCGGTGGCTCCCGCCTGTCATCCTAGCTACTCAGGAGGCTGAGATCTGAGGATCATGGTTCAAAGCCAGCCCAGGCAGGAAAGTCCATGAGACTCTTATCTCCAATGAAC